GGATCATTAAAGTGGAGATGAGTTTCGGGAGTTTGGTATAAACACAATGAACATCTTAAATTAACAGAAAAAATATTTAATAATTATCAAGCCAATAATACTTTATGGATTTGAGTGTTGGGTAGTTAAAAAATAACATATAGTAAAAGTTTTGTTGTTGAGATAAGCATGTTAAGGTGAATATGTGATGTTGCCAGAAAAAATAGGAAAAATTATTTTCATTTATAAACAATTAGGTGAAAACATATCCTAAGAGAATCATTTTTTGTTGTTATAAACATATGCTATGCTGACTTATAGGTGTTGTTGTTAGAAGATGAGAGACAACATGTATTAATGGTACGAGAAGAGGTAAAGAAAGACTAAAGAAGTATGTATGAAAAATAAAAATTATGAATAAAGATTTTAATGGCTCTTAATTTAATTAAGGATATTACTTTTCAGAGAACTTAATGAGAAAAAAAACCTATGTAGCCGAGCTCAAATAATTGAGACATTATGGTTTGTTGTTATTACAGATTGTAGGACAATTATTGAGCGAAGAATGGTTGATCTAGAAAGTCTACAGTTGAACATCTAAAGAATGGTTTATATTCTTGTGCATAGAAGTGTTTTTGTGGTCACAGTTGAACACTTTCAACTGTGTTCAGACGTCTTGAGAGCTCCTATGTCAACTAAGAAGCTTGTTTCTGGTACTTTTCTTTTTGTAATTATTTTCCTATAAGTCTTTGAATCTTTTAGTTCTTTCTTTATGTTAGTCCTCATCCCTACATGGGATGCTAAACATTACAATCCATTATTAACTTAACACTGAGTGTATATACCTCAGACTTGAAATCAGAAGCATCTCTTGTCTTTGAGCTTTAGGTAGTGTAGCATCATTTATTACTTAAACTGAGTTTTGGCTGTCATGATATGCACACATTTGTTTCATAGATCACAAATGTGATATAGTCTTGAGCCTGTCTCTATCCTTTTTTTCTTTCAGCTTTGTAGCTAAATGCTAAAATGCTTTAGCATTCATGCTTCACCACAGGGGATAGGTGTACTGCTGGATGGTCTGTTTGGGACGGGAACAGGCTCTACTGTTTCTGTGTAAGATTTTTTTTTCCTGGCAAAATTCTGCTGCATGTGATAGGGAAACATGAGTTAGATATATGCAGAGTATGGAAAATATTCATGAAAATTATATATACCTATGACCACAATGTGTTGCACTGCTTCCTGATTTTGGGAGGAACCATACCATAAGTCAGGTGCAATGCCCATGAAAAGGATCCGTGTTGTACATATTGCACAAAATTCCAGCATGTATCTTATATGATTCTAGATAATAATGGCAATGATGATAACACTAGTGAGTCGGGTGCAATGCCTCTGGAAAGGATCTGTGTTGTACTAGTACATGTTGCACAAAATCCCAGCATGTATCTTATTTGATTCTAGATAATAATGGCAATGATGATAACATTAGTTTCTGTGCAATTTTAGGGAGAATGTTGGGCTTCTTGGACTTACTAGAGTTGGCAGCCGTAGGGTTGTTCAGATTTCTGCTGGATTCATGATATTCTTTTCCACCTTAGGTATGATTCCTCATACAGTTTCCACGATGCTGGTGTTAATGTTTTTTTCAACATGCAATCAGTTGATGATGTTTTGATCTGTTGCTTCAGGGAAATTTGGAGCCGTCTTCGCATCGATTCCATTTCCTATATTTGCTGCATTGTACTGTGTCCTTTTTGGTCTTGTTGGTATGTGTTTTATTTTTCTTGCTGCATGTGTACTTGCTGTCGATATTTCTAATTTCCTTTTTGAAAAATTTGCAGCTTCTGTTGGAATATCATTCCTTCAGTTTACGAATATGAACTCTATGAGAAACCTCATCATCACTGGTCTCTCACTTTTCCTTGGAATATCTGTTCCACAATATTTCAATGATACTCGGGTTTCTTCTGGTCACGCACCCGTAAATACACATGCAGGATGGGTTAGTTATCTTTTAACATCCGTTTGAATTCTCTACAGAATTAGTGAGTATTTTCTACATTAGTCACAGCTTCGTCTCTTGCTCTCTACAATCTGTTTGGTGCGACTTGAAATAAATGAATCAATCAACTATGCTTGAAGTGTGGAGGTTTTGTTGCTCAATCTGTTTGTCATTCTTTTGCTGGCTTGCTAAGCTATCATGTTGTGCGAAGTATTTCCTGGTTGTTTTTCCCGAATTTGAATTTTAGCAATTCCTATGTTAGAAGCAACGTGTTGTCTGATTAAACCATGGATGTCAAATGTTTGGAAAGGCTCTATTCATATAAGATGTTTGTTCTACTAAGATTGCATTGTGTCTTGCTATTCACATACATGTTCTTTTGTTGACACCATAAACCTTTGCTGATTGCAGTTCAATGGGTTCTTGAATACGATATTCCTATCACCTCCAACTGTCGGGTTGATTGTCAGCATATTTCTCGACAACACGTTGGAAGTTGAGAAGTCCAAGAAGGACAGGGGGATGCCATGGTGGGTAAAATTTAGAACCTTCAGAGGCGACAACCGGAACGAGGAGTTCTATACACTTCCTTTCAATCTCAACAGATTCTTTCCGCCTACCTAGCAGAGGCTCAGATCTTCGGCAAACACTGACCGAGCTACTCCATTTTGATAACAATGCTTGCAGGCATGTTCTTCATCAATTCAAGCGATCGGTGATCCTGCAATCTTTTTGAACAAGTCGAAAAGTTTCGGCCCAGTATCTAACCTTTTTTAGGGTTCCATCTTGATTAGTTGGCACCTTGCTGCTCCACTTACAGCTTGTGCTGCTAGAATCTCTTGTATTTTTCTGTTATATGCTTCTTGTATTAGGCCGACTGGTTCATCTGTGCCATGTAGTTTGTGGTGTAATAAGACAGCACTGTTTCACACATTTAATTGTTCTTCATTTGTCTATCTTATTATGAGTTTATAAATTGCACAGGAAAAGTCTAAATACTGAACTGTAAACACATTAATATTGAGATGAATAAAGAATTAATTGTTTGGTAAAATCTAACAGAAACTCTTGTTAAATATTACAATAATTCTAAATTATAGTCTCAACTTTTTTCTAATTAAGATGATAAAAATATTGTAACAAATTGGGAGGTTCATGTCAAATTTTTTATTTATCATTTTATAGTGCAATTATTACTCTTATCAGAACAAATACTTTTTTGATCAATATCGAACTTAATATATTTAATCAATAGAAACAAGAGATGTGATCTCAAATAAAAGAACAACAAACCAGAAAAGATACATAAAATAGAACCCCAAATGAAACTCCACAAAAATATCCTTTTTTACTATAAAAGAAGTAACTAATTATATATTATTCAAAAAGATAAAAGAACCATTAGTCATCTCCTTCTCACTTTTTACTTATACAATACAAATATCAAAAATTAAGATAAAAAATCAAAAAATAAAACAAAAGTATTTATAAATAAAAAGTAAGAAATTAAAAGGTAAATATTTATTTGATTGGGGAGTGATCAGCAGGCCCATGGGCCTCTCTTGGGCCTCATACCACATTTATGACATGGCCTAGAATAAGAATTGCTGACTGCAACAAATAAGATTTCTTTTACTGTTCTTAGATTAAATCCAAGTGTGAAAGAGGCAGAGAGAGAGAGAGAGAGAGATCTTGGCATTCCAAGTCAAGTTATTCACATGGTGGGATGACTTGTGTTTGCTGCTTTTTCCCAAATCAAAGTGGAGATGGGACATTTGAATGGAGCAATCCAACCCTAATGCACGGGAAGTGCAGAGGGATTCCTCCTCTTCTCATGACTCGGTTGTCACGTCTATGTTTTTATGCGTCTGGTGGTCTAGCAGAGGATTGCTTGCTGCAGTCCCAATGAGGTACAAGCCGCCCACATTTGTTGACTTTTGGAGCACCAAAATAATGGTTAGGTGCGTCGGATCATTATTTCTTTCGTACGAATTGTCGAAACATTTTTCTTTCATATATTTCTAAACAATACTTGTATTACGATGATCGTCCATAGAGATAAACAATCATCTGTTTCCACGTTTCTATTAGAACGTATCCAGTGAAGTCAATGGAACCAAGTGACTTGGTCCGTAAGTCAACAGTTTCCTGGCATCGACGGAGTCTCGGGATCATTTCCCACCCCACCGGCACTCCCTGGTCAAGAGGAAGAGGAAATATGCATTAGGTATTTGTCCTCCTGTAGATTGCCCGATAGATTACACAGGCCAAACACACGTCAAATGCGACGCTGCACGAATGGAATCCATTAGTGTCGAAAGCCATACGTCAGAGTCTTCATTACCACGTGTGAAGATACTGCCTGTCCGAGACTGCGGGCCGTCGGTTCGGGATGGGCCCGCAGGTTTAGAGGTAAGACGTCCCGCTCACGCACACGAGTTAGTGGTGTGGAACGATCGGGGGCCCGCTGCTCTCTGGGAACGGAACTCGCGGGACCCTCTCGGTGGAAGGTACCAACTCGGGTGTAAACAAGGGCGTGTTCGCCAGGAGGCCATGCCGTCGAGCACGAGCGATCCCGACGGTCGCGTGTGTCCCTCACACACGAAGCACGTAAACAACACTCAAAGTCAGCACGAATCACGACATCAAACGTGGAGACGACACGTCCGGTCGCCATTCGAGATCCACGGTCCAAACAAGCCCGCGGCCGAGCTCCACCGGAGTCGAGGCTCGCCTGTCGACTCCGCAATCTCCCTTCATCAGCATGGACAGGTGGACCGATTGCGGGAGGGGCAAATCGTGGTGCCTACGGCCTTCCCGAGAGCGGATCCGAAGCACGCAAGCGCGACCGGCACTTGCGACTGCATTCGCGCGCGATTACGTCGACACTTCTGCCCTTTCTTACTTATTTCCTATTTATTAACTTAATCTCAATTATCACTAATTAAACCATGTGCTAACGAATACGCGTATAATAGCTAAATATATAAGTGTAATTACACGATAAATACTTTCTCGCCCCGTTTCCTCTGCCGTGTCGAATTAAGAGAAGAGCAAAACAGATGGAGATCAAATACACACACATATCTACATCGATATTAAAAGCGAAGAGATAGAGATAGATGGAAAGGGGAAACCAAAGGATTTGATTCGATCTATGCATCCACAGATCTAGATTTTGTCGGAAAGCTCGGCTCCTTCGTCTTCCAATTCGCTATTGGGTGGTGGAGTTGGGCGGAGACGGCGATCGGGCTTTCGCGACTTGCAGGGGAAAAAGCTCTCTGTTTTCCTTTCTTTTCCTCGTTGGTTTTGATATAGTAGGAGAGGGTTTGGGTTTGAAGTTTTGATCCAGACCACCCCGATGCCCAACACCAGGCACAATGCTGTTTCCGATTCCTCCTCGGACGCACCGACCGATCACATTGAAGGTGGTCTCTGATCCTGTTTTGATCCATCTGTTGTTGTTTTCGTTCACCAGTTTGGGATAAAGAGTGCAGATTTTTCCGATCTTGGGACAATGCAAAGAATGGATTTTGATGGGGTTTGATTGTTCTTGATGGCAGAATCTGTGAGGCATTTAAAGATCGAGGATGGGGATCGCCGGAAGGGCGCTGATGGGCAGCCGAATCCGTATCCTGACCGCCCTGGACAACCTGATTGCAGTTTCTACTTGAGGACCGGCTCATGCAGTTACGGGAGCAAGTGCAAGTATCACCATCCTACCATCGCTGGGCAGGTGGTGAAAGGGAGTGGAGTTGATATGATTTTGATGTTTTAGTTGTGCTTTGCTCTTTTCAGCTTGAGCTTTTGCTGCCATCAATGGTGATTCTGAAGATGAACTACTTGGTTAATATTTGAACTCATCCTCTTTTGTAGGGAAATCATTATCGAGGTGAACTCCCGCAAAGAGATGGTCAACCTGATTGCCAGGTACATCGTTTTGCACAAAAGCAAGTTTGGAAATGTTATTATGCTTAGACATCTATTCCACATACCTTACCGGCCTCTGTTCTAGTAAGATATGACTGTTAGTACAAAAATCCGATCTGGTGAAATTATTTTGATCGTTTTTGCCACCATAGAAGCAATGGCATAGCTATATAGCTTGGAGAAGAAAGAGGGCAAGCTCAATACTCCAAGATAGTAATATGGTGAAATTATTTGTGATTGTTTTGCCTCTGTATAGATTGACATATCTACATAGATTGGAGAAGAAACAGGGTACCCCTATGTTCCAAGATAGTTTGTGGTCTTTATTAAGAACTGTCTAACCGGGAACAATTCCTTTCCTGAAAAGAAAATGTGATGAAAGCTCCAATTACTCAATTTTCGGATGTCATAAAGGTGTTTCCTTAGGACTGTAACGTATGTGTTTTATAACTGCTGTGAATCCCTGTTTGCTTCTCTAAACCAAAACATAAGCATGTAAGAAAAGAAGGAAAACCATAAAGACTTGGTTCTGCATGTGGCTTTCTTATCAGACAGAAGATAGCTAATATTTGCCAGGATTCAAATGTAATTTCAATAACAGAGATGCTACTAGGACAACCAATGTGTGTAACCATGACATAAATGAGACAAAGAAGCTAAAATGCATTCCTAAGAAAAGCTTTCTGCCCTAGAGTTATTCAGAAGGTTATTTATTTAAAAGGTTTGGAAAGCCAAGAACAAGCACAATGATATGGAAAAACATGAGATATGCTTAAGTCAAACTACTATTTTTTAGAGTGTCTAATGGTTTCATGATGGAAGACTTTCACACACAGAAATATTATAACTACAAATTTATACATCTTCTATGTTTTGTCTATGACCAGATAACAAATACTTCTAAAAATTTAATTGAAAAAATCACATTAATATCCTAAGATGTAAGAACATCATACAACACACATATGTTTGAAAATTTTTGGTGGAAAATATCTAATATGTTAAAGAAATAACTATTGGTAACTTCAGAACTACCAAATTTGCTATGGCACTGGAAACTGGAAAGGATGTTTTGTCTATGTCATGCTTTTGATTAAAAAAGTAGTACATGAGCATTTGCACCTAAACCTTTGATTTTCCCTTAGTTGGTGATAGCACCACTCGGTAACTTTTCTTAGTAGCCCATGGGCACAGGATGCTAAGAATTAATGAGATCTAACAACGTAACAATGTTCTTGTCAGTGTCCTTCATGGCATTTTTCTTTAATTGAATTTTGTTACTGGCATTTGTCTTGCTGAAACTATGCTCTCCAAAGTTATGTTATCTTGATCCTATGAGAAGGGGTAACACGCAACATTTGAATCTAGCTTACCCTATTATGTTTAGAGATCATTCTGCACAAGGATTCCTTGTGAGCAAAATTCACCTCTTTAGGAACCCATAACCCATAGGACACCTTTTAGATCATAGAAGTAGAATTTGATGGACTATAGTCTATCTGTTTAGCTGTTACTTTAAAAACTAAAAGATATAATGATAAAGACAAAGCAGCTGTCGAAGAGTTGGGAAAAACTGTTGTAGAAAATGAGGGACAATTGTTTATAATGGTTTGGATGTGTCCAAATAAGATGTATAAATACACTGGTTTTATGAAATTTAACTTTGTATTGGAAAGGCTCAAGAGATGGGAAGATAAAGATTATTTGAAACTATTACAATGGTGTTTTGCTTTTAGCATAGCTCAATCAAACAAAATGATACATGAAGTCAACCCCAAATAATGAAGAACAATGATACATTCTGAGAATATTTGTATCACATGAGTTATCTTTTTCTTCTTAATCATCTTGAATTCATATATAACTTTTTGTCCTCGCTCCTGTTAGACCACCACTATAATCCTTATCCAACTTGACATATGCCTTATCATGAATGACTGTTAGATAAATTTAGTTATTTTTTTATGATGAGATAGAATTTTCATGTCTGAAACTCATGTACCCTTTTGATGTTTTGTCAAAATAAACCTTCTGACAGATTTGTCTTGTACAGAACTGTTGTGTCAGCATCCATTACACTTAGACATTTCCATGATATAGAAGTTGTTGGCATCTAAATAATCAATAATAAGAAATGAGAAAATTTCCAAAGAATATTCATTTCTTATAATGAGCATAAGATGTCTTTGAGCAATTCTGAGATGTTTGCTCCAATGTGCCTTCTTCTTAAAGAGTATAAGCTTTTCCTATGCTACATGGTGAATTGGTGCTCTTGTTGATTTTTGATCCACAAGACTATACCAATGATGTGTCAGATGGACTATGCTTTATAGAGCAAGATATTTTCATTGAATGCAAGAAAATGCAGAACCTTACCTCTTAGTTGAATTCCTGAATTTGTTGCAACAATGAACAGAAAATGAGTTGACAAATGCTGATTGGTTTTTCTATACCAGATGAACTATGGGAGATCATAACCTGACCATGGGTAGAGTAGAGTAAACTCCAAATTACAGTTTGGACCATCAAGAGATGTCAAGCCATGAACTCATCTCTTACCAGTGGATTGGATCTTTCTCAATTAGAAAATTATATATTTATTCTATTAATAAAATCTTGCAATTTTGTGCTCATAAAATTAGTTCTTTAAGGTGTCTTAACAAAATCAGCACAAAAAGTGTCTTGCAATTTTTCTTTCAACTGTTTAAGGCAACTTATTTGATTTGGCAGCTTAATACAATTTCCTTTTGAAATAAACCAGCATATATAGTGTTAAGAAGATGCAGACCTGAAGAATCAATTGCTTTGATTTCTCATTCTTTTTTATCATTAATACATTAGATAACGTATGGTTTAGTGATTCTAATTTGTGCTGACATTTGCTTTGCTTAAATGTGCTATTGCAGTTTTTCATGAAGACAGGAACCTGCAAATTTGGCTCAACCTGTAAATATCACCATCCACAAGATAAGCGTGACACCCAAGTACTTCAGTTAAATGTTTTGAGTCTACCACTGCGAAAGGTGTCGAGATTTATTTTTAATTTTTACCCTGCATATGATGAAATTCAGCATATCTAAATATCTTAGACCATTTGTTCCTTTAATGGGAGGCAGGTTTGTGGTGTCAGGATAAGATTACTCCTTCGTGATCTAGCTGACCAGGTTTGAGTTGCAAAGATAGCCATGCTGCTTGCAGCAATAAGGCTGTGTATTCTCAGGCTCTGGATTGGCATGAGCCTTGTGTACTAGGCCACCCTTTATTTTCTTTTTAATGGTCTCAAATTCCTCAAATATCTGTTGGAGTTTTCATTTGATCTGGTTTCACAGGATGAAAAATCATGTCCCTACTACATGAGGACTGGAACTTGTAAATTTGGAGTTGCCTGCAAGTTTAATCATCCTCAGCCAGCCAATGTTGGAGCCATGTTTCCTGAATCAGGTCTCCCAATTAATGGATATTATGGATCTTTTGCACCGTCAACAGGACCATCTTTAACAGGTGAACTTCCACCATGGCCTTTCTCAAGGACCACCATGTCTAGTCCTCATATGCAAGGGCTCCAAGGTTTCATGCCACTTATTCAGCCGCACAGCCAAGCCACCATGCCTATGCAGCAAGATTGGAGCACATACATGGTTTGGAATCAGACCTTAAAAATCTACTAGATTTTGTGTGATTTACTACTTGTCTTGTTCAAGCTGCTTGTCAAACCCTAGCTATTTATGATGATACAATGAAGTGTTACTGCTCCTCAGCAGATTGAGAGCCTATTTTCCAAACTTATGCTTAGTGACTCTCTTTTTTGTGTATGCTAGTATTTTACTAAATATTTCCATAAAGAACTTTCTTTCAATTTTAGCTTATAATTACAGGGCGTTAATGTGTTCTTTTTTAAGTTCAACATTTGATTACAGGGAATTATATTGAATTATACCTAATAATATATTACACTTTTTCCGGTGAATCCATGTGTTTAAAGTTTTGGCATTCTGATTAAGCTCTTGGCTAAGATTGTCCTAGTCCAACTGACCATGTTGAAAAACACAACTAACTAGATTTTAGGAAATAGCATCTAACAATTCTTGCGACCTTATTTTTTTACCGCTAAGACTGGCCTCATCCATTCTAATCAGCAAAGGTACTTTGTTAATTATCTTTGGTTGACTGTGGCAGCTTTTCAAGATGATTTTCATTAGATATAGAAAATCTAATGTATGTATATTTGTTGACACATAAATTGCTACCACACCATTGTTTGCAATGTAGACTTTACTTGCTTCTGTACTTCTGTTATCATTAAGGTTTTAATCTATGATGCATGTATACATCATTTGCTTCCTTTTATATACTGCAGTAGCATCTTTCTGTAGCCAACTTTTATAGTATACCAATACTTAAGCATGCTTACTACTTCAAGCAGGGCAGTATTCACATTCCCTCTTACAGTGGTCCTAGGCCTAATCATCTATCCAATTTAAAGAACCATGGGCAGCCAGGCTCAATGGCACCCGTTAATTTTCCACACAGACCTGATCAACCAGAATGCCAACACTACATAAGAACAGGGTGCTGCAGATATGGTAGTTCTTGTAAGTACCACCACCCGAAAGAGAGGAACCCACCAGCTGCATGCACTATAGGGCCCTTTGGGCTTCCTCTCAGACCAGTAATTTCTCTTCTTTATCATCTTGGTGCTTATTATGTTATTTGTTACTATCTGATTGTTTCCTTGTTTTCATGCATGCACCTGTGACTTGATTTATAGGGTGAGCCTGCATGCACATTCTATGCTACCTACGGAAGCTGCAAATACGGGGCAGCTTGCAAATTTGATCACCCATATGTGGCTGTGTTCCCTCTGATGGAACAACCACTGGCCTATCCCTATCAAAGGGGTTCAGAATGTACACAGATGACTTCAGACAATCCATCTTGCTGGATGCCAAAAGCACCTGATGAGCTCATGAAACCTGAGAGAATTGGTGAACTGCAGGATTTGGATGACATTGAGCATGATAATCCGTCTACTCCAACTTCTCCATCGCATACTGCTCCTCATTCAGAATCATCATCAATAAATCAATCTGATCACTGTTAGCTTCTCTACATTTTTCATCCATTCTCACCATGGTTCTATAATGGAAATTTTGTCATCTCTGCTTTCTCTATCACTGTATTCTTGCACATGGCTCTCTCGAACAACTGGCCAGTTTGAAGATCTACATGATAGATGATGAAGAAACAGTATATACAAACAAATAGCTGGTTATATGTAATCTAAATTACTTGTTTTGCGGATTGTTATCTGTGTTCTTTGAGAAGAAAACAAATCGGTTAAAGAGTCATGAGGAGAATTTCATGTATTTACTTTGCAGATCAGGACTTTTAGAATAATGTTGAAAAAATGGAAAGATTTATGTTGCAGTTAAGAAAACTGTGAGGTTTGCTTTAGATAACAATTATGTCTGCGAGTGGATAGTTTTATGCTTTGGTTTGGGAAGGAAGCAGGAAGGATGCTTCTGACTTTTGCCTCTTATACTGCATGTGTTTATGACTCTAATTGGTGAGACCAGACACGATGATAATGCTGAAAGTTATGAGTTTGATGTAAGACTTCGATTAGATTAATTTTCGGTCGGAAATAGATAAGACTAAGATTAGCGTATAAGGGTTTGATGGGTATATTATTGTCAACTTCAACTTAAGCATTTTGATCAATGATTTGAATTCGACAAAGTTGATAGGCTAATTAATCTATCAAGTTCGAGTCGTAGAAAAGGGTTATTCATGGATGGAGTTAGAGAACTTGTAGAGTTACCACTTGGTTATGCCTTACCTACACTATACTACGATTTAATCTATGCCAAATTGGGTCTTGACAAGGACGTCAAGCTCTTTACTTGTAACATCTCGATTAGTATTACATCGAAAATTGATAAAATTAAGATTGATTTATAATGGTTTGATGCATATACTTTTGTTAATTTTAACTTAGGCATTTCGACTAGTGTATTAGTTGTGACACGACTATTCTCGTTCCATGTCGAGAGTAAGAAAATACTTGAATGAGTTTATAAGAATTATAATATCATTATTTATGTATTTGGTTAATCAATTATAATTGATTTAATACTAGGCATTTTGACTAGTGTATTAGTTGTGACACGACTATTCTCGTTTCATGTCGAGAGTAAGAAAATACTTGAATGAGTTTATAAGAATTATAATATCATTATCTATGCATTTGGTTAATCAATTATAATTGATTTAATACTAGGCATTATGAGAGGCTTAAATAGGAAAGTATTATCCTGTAACGAGGCTACTTGATTGTTCAATTTGATCATAGTTTTGCTGGTTTCTCCATTTTTTTCCTGATAAAACATTTCAGCATAATCAACTTCAAGTTGCGTTGAGTGTGACAGCAACATAAGATGCCCAACCCAACCTTGCAGTTAAGATTAACTGTTGATGAATGATCATGCAAACAAAGCGAGTATCCCAAAGATATCAGACAAGTTCTTATCATTGCAAATGAATACAAAACCACAGTGTATGCTATTTGTTTCTACACACATATCGGATACGAATACACGGGTTCTGAACAAGGAAAGTGCGTCAATGGAATGAACACATGACCAAAAGCTGCACTTCAATGGTTTTGGGTCACTCCCACAGATCAGAGTAGCAATATATTGTGTGACAAGCAAATGTAAAGGACGACGATTACAACAAGAGAAGAACAAAAGCCTTACAGATCTGATACGGCAATTAACATGCAAACAACAGTAGCTTAGAACACTAGAATTGTACACACAAATAAAGTCGTACCCAAATATCGTAGGCTCTGCAAGAAGTCCAGACAGAGATAGAAACCTGTTCATGCAATATATAAAGCCCCTCAAGCGGCTTTTGATTGAGAGAGGTACGAAATTGAGTCACAAGTCAGACTAGGGGTCAAGAATCTACATCGCTATACGAGTGGAATCACAAGTAGCTCTACGATATCCCGACTGTCTTCCCAAGAAGCCACAAAAATAGAGTTATTTCAAGCATAAATATGGTATGGAGCCATGCCCGGTCCACCGTGAAGCCAAATATGGTAATCCCTGCTCTGTTGTTCTCCAAATATGTGACTGCAACATAAGAAAAAACAATTTAGAATGATTAACCATGTCACGATAAGACAAGGTTCATATCATCTGCTTAAAGCATTTAGAATTTTTTTGTTTCGAGAGTAAGACTACTTCGGTGCTCACCTAGTGCTTGTCTCTTTTGGAAGGCCATGGTATTCACATGAGTATGTACAATCTTTGTACATATTAATTCATCTATATCACTGGCTTCTTCATCATCTGTGTCAGCATCATTTTCAGGTGATACATGATTGGTGTCAGGAGCAATGGTAGAAGTTGTCTCGAGGTCTACGGCATATGAGTCAATAGTAGCACAGACGTGCCATTTTGCAGCATGGCCTGTGAGTGCTTGAGCTTTGTGTGTGATTTTTGCAGCGCTACGTAAGCATATAAGCAGTCCGGTCACGAGCACAATTGAGCACAACTGCGAATTAGGGGGAAAGGGGAAAATTTAAGTTCAATGATGCTGATTAAAAACTCTGAAGGGGGTAAGAAGCAAATGCTTAAAAATCCCATTTAATAAACAAGCATGTGAGGGTTATCATGGAATTCAATTCATAATTTTTCCTACACAGCAGAAAATAGTGCAAGATTTCTCAGTCCTTATTTCATGATATCTCAATGACATCTTCTGACATCTTGGAAACACTCTGAGATCCAGAGCACACGTTCTGCTTATTCTTGCAATGAACATATATAAAGAAATGTAGATGATATCAAACCATGGACAAAAGATTAGGTTGAGAAATACATTGCTACTGTTTGGAAATTCCAGTCAGGAATGCATGGACTAACTATCATTAAAGAATTTGACGATCGACACAAATTATACTACCATGATAGAATCAAGTGAGAACTAAACCATGTCGGAAAATAAGGGCTTCAGTTATAAATCAGATTGCCATTTCGATAAATAAGCAGCAGCGTTTCGTGGAAATGTCGTTCCTCAAGAAGGAAGAATTTGCAAGATTTAATTAAGGTTCAATCCTATTAGATAGCAAAGACAAGAGGGAGTAGGTTTTCTTGTCTCATTTGGTATGTATGTGACAATTCAGAGATGTCGGCCGACCTCATTTTACCTTTGTGACAAACTTTTATAGTCTATGAAAAGTTGGTCAAATTTCGCATCCTTATATCATATGCTTTTCCAATTTCTATCATCACTTTACTTTGTAGACGCTAATGTAACTTTGTTTCTAGTGTTGTGGACCAAAGTTAAAAGCATTAATCTTGTCAAAGCTTATAAATACATTGTGCCCTTTCCTAAAAGTTTTTGGGATTATTGATCGTCCAATCAAAATATAAATCGCGGTATCTGAGCATATCATGAATTTTAATCATGCTATAGTTCACAGTGTTCAATTAAAACTATCTGTGTAATATCTGTTCTTCGTTTGGGTTAATTCTTTAGCTCCAATGCTTAATTCGAAGAAGCAAAATGAGGACTTGGAAGGCTCACCGCGAGTTCTCCAGTGTTGAAAAGATTATCGTCGGAGTGTGGCCGGAGAGTCACCAGGGTGGCGGCGAACTGGCTGGCCGTGACCATTATCAACCCTGCCAATATGAACACCCGAAACCTGTGGCTGATTACTTTGAGCTGCCTCCTCAACCGGAGATGCTCTCGCAGCACTGCTTCGACCTCCGATTCCCCTCGGAACACCGCCGCGAAGTCCTCCAGCCTCAGGATTTGGAGGTGGCATATGAGCCTAAAGAGCACGCAGGAGAGGAAGAAGCTGGAGATCCGGTAGATCAAGGACGCCAGCTGGAGCGCGCACGAGACGCAGTAGCTCAGCAGGGGGTTCCCCACGAAGGGGATGCGGCCGGCGCCGGAAATGTACCACCAGAGCTTGTAGGCGACCTCGGCGGCGAAGCAGGGGGCGACGAAGCAGGAGAGGAGGCGGAAGGATTGGTTGAGCTCGAAGGTGTAGCCGAGGCGGACGCGGTCGGTCTCGCCGGGCAGCTTGTCGAGGAAGAGGAAGCGGCGGAGACCGTAGCTGCGGGTGACGGAGGAGAGGGTAAGGAAGGAGAGGGCGGAGGCGGCGGTGAGGGACAGCTGGACGACGAGGTCGTAAGGACGGCGTTGGGGGCGGAAGGCGAGCACGAAGTGGGACACGGCAGGGACGGCCACGGCGAGCAGGAGAAAAACGGCCCAGGAGACGGCGGCGCGGTAACCGCTGCCGGACTGGTCGAGGCAGAGCCAGCGGAGACAGGAGCGGAAATTGCGGAGGTCATCATCGCGGCGCGAAGGACACCGCGCGTAAGACTCCGAGGTCAGGAGCGGCCGGGCGTCTGCTCCGGCGTCGGCGTGTCGCCCCATCGTCCTGCTCTGCTTCCGGCGCTCGGTCGGGAATCTACGTATGGATGACGGAAGAAGCAATGGAGGGGATTCACACACAGGTGAGCTGCTTTTGGTTCCCCTTAATTTGGGAAACACACACCATCACAGATTATATAGAAAGATGCAATCTTTGGTGGGTGGCGACGGAACGAGACATTAAGGCATGAATGTGCGCTTGCTTTGGCAACAACCAGTGAGATGTGACCCTCTGTTTTCTCTTTTATTGCCATGTTGACGACCTTTCTTGGTTTGCTTGCTGGTAACTTCCAAGGGGAGAGAGAGAGAGAGAGAGAGAAGGGACAGCCTTTGGGTGGTAAGACAGCTGGTTAGAGTCCAACCTACGGTAAGAGATAATTAATTCATAATGAATCATGTAAAGGAAATCGTATAAGACATTCACATGGATCACAACCATTTTAAGCTAAGAAGGTTACACATTTTCTCTTATTTTTATACATCAAGCTCATGTATGTCATAAAAAAATGTATAATGATAATATGAGTAAACCATCCAGTTAACTCAAGATAAATCAAATTTCTATATAATGATTTAAAATATATAGTATAATTTCATAAACCTCTTAAAACAATTATTATGTCTTAATTTAGGCTTGGCCTACCTAGCAAATTAGTCATTTGACCTAAATCAACCCTAATTTCTATTAAACAATGTATAAGTTATATTTGATATATGCTAAACCCGGCAATGTTGAATCTCGAATAAAATTAATTGTTGTGTTTGTGATCTAATATGCATTTAAGTGACGAATCAAACGTCGGGTCGGAGCAAACATGTCAGAAGATTGGACGTCGGGCCGAAGAATTAGTCAACGTATCGACAAAGGCTTCGTGTCATGAATTTAGGCATCAAACCAAAAGATCGGATATTGCGCCAAGGAGATCGAAAGTTATGGGAGTCAACATGTCGATTAAGTAATACGCCAAAGGA